TTTATCTAAACTGAACTCTGATTTACGTAAGCATGTGAAATAGTCAAATGTGTAGATGCATCTACTGTCAAACATGTCTTTTTCGCAAGCATATCTTTTTAGCGAATTTAGCGAGAGAACTAATTTGCTAATTTAAGATGTCGCTAATGACTTCATTATAAATTCCTTATTACACTTGACAGTTTTTCTTTGTTTTTATGAAGGTGATAACTGGTTTTGGCAGGCAACAGACAAGTATTGTGAAAATGGGAAATCAACAAAGACAAAAGAGATTCGCTAAATCAACATTTCCCTATTACATCATTTTACCACAATTTGCTAAAATATGTCGCTTTTTCAACATGTTTAAAGTATTTTTTATTCACTGTCTTTTGGTTCAAACTCAGTCTTGGTTATTGAAGAAATACACATGGCTGAAAGGTCATCTTGAACTGAATGACAATGCACATATAAACCATTATGGGTATTTGAACCAAAAGCGTTCTGGACATACACAGTCAGCCATATTGTCAGTCTATCATATTGCCAGTCTGCCATATTGGATTGGACCAGCAGACTATTTGTAAGGTAATTAATAAATACTATGTAAACCATTATGAGAAGTATTTGTACAAATTTGTAAAAAAATCAGTCAAGGCATGGCTGAGATATATCCCACTAACTACAAATAAATGATATCTGCCGATAACTTCTTTATCACATGACCAACGCTGATTGTCTGAAATTGTAAGTCTCTAGAACTATGCCAATGTCAGTGGTTTTTGCAAAGTTTTGTTTTTCCAAATGAAATGAAATCATTAAAATTGTTAGCAGTAAATTATACTAATTACATTAAGTGACTAACTGCTATTACTGTATTGATTTGATCGGATGATTTGTGTTTCCTCAATGTACAGTTAAAACATTCATCAAATGATGGCGTTTAACATGATATTTCACGATAGACATCACAGCTGTGAATGATATGCAACATGTTATAAGACACTATAGAACAGCTACCCATCTGAAGTAAAATGTGTAAGGCACCTAATGGGTTAACTATCCAACAGAAAGAACATAGGGTCATAGGTCAACAACTGATTTATTACTCTACCTATAGGGCTGAACTTCTAAAAGAAATTGATTCTTTTCATCAGAAGTGGCATCATCTTTCAACTGTTTTATTATTACTTTAGTTTTCTTCAGTCCAGTCTGTAGTTTGTGTGCTTCTCCAGTCAATACCTAGAATGAAATAATAAGAAATATGCGATAATTTATACAAATAATGGATATGCTATGACTAACATAATAATAATTAATGTGGTCATTTGTTACAATATTTATAATGTACATGAATTACATTCTGAATGTCACTGAGATCAATACTGTTATCTGTGAGTGTTGACACAATAAAGTGGAATTTATTCCAACATGTACTTTATTATTTGAACAATTTGATCGTAATCTTTATACATTTTTGTGCCAAACCTCAGGTCAACACTTAACTACTGTAAAATCTGTATTAGAAGCTGCGGCTTCTATTAAAATGGTACAATGCAACAGAAGGGATGCCTACACGTATGAGAAATGGTGAATTTTTGGTTCTCAATTGTTCAAAAAGGATGGGTGCGACTTATATTAGAGATGCGCCTTCTAATACAGATTTTACGATACCAGTGATTGCAGCAAAACATAATGAAATCTAACAATATGTCAGGCAAAATTTCATAAATATTATTATTGCTGAAGAATAACTGTTTATAATTTATCATACAGTGACACACAGACACAACTTAAATTGCAGGTGTTAAAGCTCTCCACATAGAATATGCAGTAATACTACACCTTGGGTCAGCAAACAAGCTTCGTTCAGGTTTTACACCTGTTTGTGGATTTTTTTAAAACCAACTGTTTGTGAATTTAGGACCTTGCTACATTTATATCAGTGACTCACAACCTGATATACTGGACTGATTCAATAATGGAGTTATTGCCTTGGTACATTTGTATAATGACTTTCAACATAATATGGTAGACCAATTAAGTAATGGAGTTATCGCCTAGCTATAATGACTCACAACATAATACACTAGACCATTATTGCCTAGCTACCCATACAATGTCATAGTGTAATAATAATACTTACCTTTCCAAACCATCCACTTCCAATTTCTGCAACATAATTTAGCTGAGTTCTTGGTAGTTGTAGATGAGATAGGTATCCACTTACAGTTGATAATGACCCGGTACTATTTGGTTTATGTGTTCTAACACTGACATCAGGTAAGGGTTCAATTCTAATAGGGTCATTTGACTCTAATGAATCCACATTTAAGGCACTCAAATCACCAATATCTATGTAACTATTCCCAACTACCATCTCATTCTGTGTTATACCAGATGTGTCATCATAAGGCTGAAATTAAAAAATAATAAAAATAACAAAAAATAAAAATAAAGAAGATAATTTGAGGTTATTATGAGAATACCTCAAAGTATTCATAAAGACAGTACAGCAGGAGTATCAACCTATGCGCAGCGGAGGTTGATGCGACGTATTGTCTGAGTGTATATTTTGAGGTACATGTATACTCGTAATAACATTATTATACATCTTTTCCTTCCAAAGATACATCATTTGAATGCCAAAATCCTAAATGTTTAAAACAGAATCAGCAAACTTCTTTGTGTGGAGTCCAGTCAAACACTGGTGGCAGACATGTTTGTTTTTATTATTAGAGGAAGCTTACGCGCGTAATCATTCCATATTCCGAATTCACATTTCCTAATATGGTAGAATGAAAATACCCAGTAAAATACCGGAAAATTACGGCACGCTGTAACTTATGGCGTTATGATGACAGATGTATAATAATATTTTATATTTCAATATGGTCACATGAATTCTTCCTCACAATGTTAATGAAATGTTGATTACTAAAGTAACTTACATTTGTATCTGTCTACATGAATTAAATGGCTCTCTCATT